CCCCAAAACCCCAAAACCCCAAAACCCCAAAACCCCAGATATTTTTAAGAATATTGACGTTATAAAATAAACCCAACTGTATTATTTTCAAAGATGCAACAATTTATATCCCAAGTAGAAGCAATTAGGACTAATATTATGCAGTAAGTAAGCATCTTGCTGGTTAGATAGACTCCTAATGTATAACTATAGAGTTTTCAAACAGATTAAATCCCTTGATGAAGAGTCTTCTGAGATAGTTATTGACTTTTCAGGCAAAGACAATAGCATTAAGACAGTTATATTAGAAAATCTGCTTAGATTTCTAAAGATTGCCCTTCAATTTGAAAACCAAGCCAAACTCTATAATGTCGATCAGGAAATGTTATCAATAATGGAATCGAAAAATAAGCTCAATGTCCAAAATCTCGAGAGCTGAGCAACAGAGTTATCTCAGAAATATGAGGGATCTCAGAAGGAAGTCCTTTCTCTCAAGAATGAAAACTACACTTTAAAGTCAAAGCTTGAGACATTAAAATAAGGAGATTAAACAGAACCGTTCCTCCCTTCTAAAGTCAAATGCTGAGAATGCTCAACAGAAGACATTAGTTTCTACTACAAATGAGACTATCTCTAACAGCTCTTTTCTTTCATCTCGGGCTGAATCACAGATGTTTAAGTACAAATCTCGAGCAGACCAGAACTCATCGAACAAATCTGCAATGAGGTATACACACTCTAAGAAAGAGTCTATAGAGTCTCCTAAGAAAGCGTAAGTCGTCTAATAGACTAACTTTAGGCCTCAGAAGCATAACTTCCGAAGGAAATGTAAAAATGAGAAGGAAATTATGACAAAAACTCAGAAAAATATCTGTTACAATCAATTTACGAAGAACGTTAAGAACCTGCAATCTTCAGAATCATTAAGAAGTCTCTCTAAGACTCTCAGAAGTAGGGATGAACTTCAAAAGGCTGATAAGAGCCCGAACAAGGCAATAGAGAACTTCTCAAAGTAATCTTTGACTGATTTTTTAAGGTATATCAATCCTAAGAAAAAGTGTGAAAACAAGAATATCCAGATCCAGCCACATAATAAGTACCAGAACAAGTCTAGAGAGGCATTTGCAATAAAGCTCAAAGGGAAGATAAGCAAAGGAGGATGTATGCCCTCGTATTCTCCTCTGAAGTCAGTTAAAAGTATGATTTTCTGTATAAAGATAGGCTCTAAGAACTTCAAAGCAGTCAAACCCAAAACTCCTCAAAATGAGAATGACCCTCATCAGAAGTTATACAAAAGGAAGGCTTCCTTCCAAGCATTCAGCCAAAACCCTACTAAGAAGTCTGGAAGGTAAGCATGGTGCTAAAAAGTGTAGGAATACTTACCAGTGTCTTATCACAAGTAAGAGCTCAGCTCCATTAGAGAATAAGCCTTTAAGTCCATCTCTTACGGCTCAGAACTTGTCGAACTATATAAATATTAGTCGAAACCAGGAAGTTTCTGGGATAAATTCCAGAAAGACCCAATACTGTAAGTGCGATATGTAGATATCCCTTCTAGGAGAGATCAAAAAATATTTCCAAGAGAAGAGAAATGAGAGAAAAATCATCAAACAACAAAGAAGTGAAGGGAGATGTTAATTCATTTTCAATCATTTCTGAGGAATTAGGGGTTTTGGGGTTTTGGGGTTTTGGGGTTTTGGGG